GAGGGACGAGGAGGGAGTAACCATCTGCAAAGTGTTACCCAACGCTTCCAGGGACACGCCAGGCTCTGGGCTGGGCCACAGTGATGCAGGAGACCGGGAGCCTCCAGTCCACCAGGGACAGAGACACGAAGGACCAACCGCAATTCAGAGACGTTATTGCCACAGAAAAAGAAGTGCATTGACTTCTGACCCAGAGAGTGCAAGGAGGACCGCTCCACGGCAAGGACACCTGGCCTGGGCTCTGGAGGGTGAGTAGGAGTTTGCTGGAGACACACAGAGTGGGGCGAGCAGCTCTGTTTTCTTGGGACAGAGGAAGCAAGCTGGACGAAACACGAGGTGTGCGGGGCGGGTGCGAGGTGAGCCTCTGGGTCAGCCAAACGTGGCTTTGCCACATCAAATAACCATGGAAGGCCAGGGGCACCTGTCTCCGTATCCATTAAGGGAAAGCAGACTCTTATCTACGTTGGAGGCTTTTCCAGTGAGGGATGTGCCCTGATGTGAGATCAGAGATGTGGAGGCGGAATTTCCTGACTCCTGGGAAGGTCGATACGTGGGGCTGGGGGCTGGGGATTTCCTGAGCACTGGTGTCCCAGCCGTGTGGGCCTGTGGGCTTTTTCTCTCTCATGCCCTAAGAATCAAGGCCAGTGCTCTGGGAGGATCCCCACAGAGGTTCAGGCACCATGGAGGCAGCCCGGCAGACACCGGGTGACACATAAGGGTGACTCTGGCCCTTAGCATCTGGGCAAGGACTTTCTTCAGGACCTTCGATGTCCCCTCGTGTAAAATGGGCTTAATGGGTTGTAACAGCACAGGCCACGGTCCCCCTTGCTGGTAGCCCTTCGTGCCCCTTGGCTCCCAGCTGCTCCTAATGGGCCTGGGTTGGGGGCGGTGGCTGGAGCCCAGCCTCCTGCTACATTTAGGGAAGTCTCATCCCCCCACCCAGGGCCACAGGGCACTGACCTCATTGTAGTAGGGGCAGTTAGTGGACTCCTTCATGGATGTGTACTTCTTGTCGTCGCCCACCTCCACGCACACCACGGGGTCCATGTTCAAGCCCACGAGCTGCCGAGCCTCAATCACAGTGATGCTGACCTTCGGGCGGGAGAGGGGGAGGCCAGAGGTAAGCTGCGTGAGCCTTGCCGCTCGTCCTCCTGGAGTCGGGGCCCAGGAGCAGGGAGCCAACAACGGACTTGGGTTCCAGCCCGAGCACTGTCTCTAATCTGCTGCGGATCCCGGGCTCTTTTCCCCACTAAGCCTCAGTGTCTTCATTTATAAGGAAGGGCGTGGGCTGGATAAGCTGGAAGTGTGTGTTGCAATTACCAGCAGGGAGGAGAAAGGCGCTGCTTAAAAACCAGGGTCTCTGGTGGGGCCAGGCATCAGTATTTTCAAAGCTCGCAGGGATTTCAAGTATTCCCCCAGCCTCCAGGGCTCTACCGCCTAGAGGGCTGCAAACCACTCCCTGGGTTTCATGCGCTCAGGGATTAAGCTTTCTATGTCTTCATTGATGTGCCTTTAATTTCCTGCCCCAGCATCTCTCATTTTAAGATTGCAGGGGCGCCTGGGTGGCGCAGTCGGTTAAGCGTCCGACTTCAGCCAGGTCGCGATCTCGCGGTCCAGGAGTTCAAGCCCCGCGTCGGGCTCTGGGCTGATGGCTCAGAGCCTGGAGCCTGTTTCCGATTCTGTGTCTCCCTCTCTCTCTCTGCCCCACCCCCGTTCATGCTCAGTCTCTCTCTGTCCCAAAAATAAATAATCGTTGAAAATAAAAAAAAAAAAAATTAAGATTGCAGGCCTCCGAGAGTGCTTCGTGTTTCTGGAATTCCCCCCACCCACCCCGCTTTCCACATTCCTGGTTTCCCCCTTTTGTTTAATCTGTTTGGGAACCTGAGCCACCTTTGCTGGCTTGATGCTGTGTGTTTTGTGGGTTCTGTGTCTTTTCAGGGGGCGTCCAGCTCCCTGGAATCTTACGTCTATGCTGGGAAGCCCTTTTTAAGTTGTTCATTCATTCAACAAATGTTCATGTTCTGCACTGTTTGTGCAGAGCCTGATGTGGGCCTTGATCTCACGAATTGTGAGATCATGACCCGAACTAAAGTCAGGAGTCGGACGCTTCACCGACTGAGTCACCTAGGTGCCCCCTGAACCTTCATTTTAAGCCATCAGTTCTTGCTTTGGATTTGGAGGTGTCAGTCCCCATTGGGGTGGCCATGACAAAATAGAAAGAGGCACAGGTTTGGGTTGGCTGGGCTGGCATTCAGCCCCAGACCTTATACATGACCAAGGGTGAGAGGAGGCACCCGTGCAGGCTCACGGAGTGAGCTCTAAGTGGAAACACCATCCATCCACAAAGTTGGGTGAAGGTTAAATGAGATAATGTGTGTCACAGTGCCTCATAAACAAGCTCTAGAAAATATGAGTTATTGTTATAAATGGCTTCTCAAAGTCTCCCAAATAGGTAGGGTCCTGTAGATGCTTACGATCGTTCCGTTTGACTCTCTCGAACTTGCGTTTCAACAAAACAGCCTGTGCTAAGCTGGTGTTAGCATTTACCTCAGCTCATTCCTCCAGTGAAACTGTGGGCCTTACTTTTTATACTTCTCATCTTGGAGATTTGGTATTTCAATCGTTGTGCTTCGATGCAACTTCTAAATACGATTTTACTCAAGAAAATCATGCTCCCGTTTCATAAAAAAAAACTGTAACCATGAAAATGATCATCCACTGTATCCATCGAAGTCTTATAAATATTCCAAGGGCCAAGAAGAATCCACACATCAAAACTAACGATGTTAAGAAAAATAAAAACTTCAGTGCCAATGAGAACATTGCCAAGAAAGTATACAGAACTGGAGACTGAATATTTACTAATTGAAGCAACACTTGAACTACGAAAGTAAGCATTTCTATTTGGAACTTGAAGTGCCAAAGGCAATGAAGCTCAGACTCCAGAGCTCTGGAGAAGTTTAATAATTACCATTTCTTCAGGGAGCTAAAAAGGAAATATAGCTAATCAACTTAGCTCTGGGAAGTTGCCTGTGAAGAGAGTAGGCAGGCACTACAAGTCCTTCTGGAATATTCTTGCACAGTGGTTTATAGGGTTTTAACCTCTATGAAAGTTTGTATGCCAAAGGCTTAAAAAAAAAATCTCATTAGATTTTCCCACAATTAACCCCCTCCATTAAAAAATAAAAACACTTTCTGTAACTCAAGACTGGAAAGTAGACAGACACAGTTTTGGCATAATAAGGCAGTAAGATATGCCATCAAGAGATTAACCTTCCAAATGTGAGCAGTTGGTTAGTTTTTATGGTTTTTATCCAGAGGCCCAGGCGTGATGCCAGTGTTTTTGCCCTCTCCTCCTTCTCAGGACCCAAAGTCTCCACCTTCTTCTACTGAGCAGAGCCAACAATGGTGAGCAACCCTGGTTGGAGCTCTGACACCCAGGAGGGAAAGGGTGGGGAGGGGAGGAGGGCAGAGGGTTGAAAGGAGCAAAGGGTGGGGGCGTGGGAAGAGAAGGGCTCCAGAGGTGCTCTTTTGTAGCTGAGGGGTGGCCCTGCAAGGAACCCTGAAACCATTGAGGTCACTGTATGGTGTTAGTGGGGGAGGGGAGTGTTATTCCTGCTGCATCCCCATCCCCCACCTGGAGCTCTATGGGGGGGGGGGGGGGGGGGGTAGGGGCATATGTCACTTGGACTTGAAATTTAAAACAAATTTCGAATTAGTCAGAGAAAGACAAATGTCATACGACTTCACTCATACGAGGACTTTAAGAGACAAAACAGATGACCATAAGGGAAGGGACACGAAAAAAATACAAAAACAGGGAGGGGGACAAAACAGAAGAGGCTCATAAATATGGAGAACAAACTGAGGGTTACGGGAGGGGTGGTGGGAGGGGGGATGGGCTAAATGGGTCAGGGGCATCAAGGAACCTACTCCTGAAATCATTGTTGCACTAGATGCTAACTAACTTGGATGTAAGTTAAAAATTAATTAATTAAAAATAAATATAAAACAAATAAAACAAATTTTGAGGGAGGGGATTGGCCATCCTTTCCTTCCATTCTCCAATCATCAGCAGAGGACTTGATTTTTCCAGGGTAGAAGATGAGAAGGCAAATAGACCCATGAAGGGCCTGACTGATCAGCTGATCGGGGAGACTCTTGGTAATTGCCTATTCAGCCCTCTCCTTCCAAGATAAGGGGCCTAATCCCCAGGTGGTTTCATGAGGCCGTCACAAGGAACAGTGCTGACTGTAAACCTATACCTCTGTCCTGGAAGAACCCAAGAGTCATGGTGCTCTGTGACCTGCTTCCAAGGGATCCGATTGTGCCGCAAGAACATCGGCAGGGAGCTGGAGACAGCAGGTGGCAGGCCCGTGAGAGCCGCCCTTCCGAAACACCCTTTGCCTTTTCTCATCTCCAGATGGCTGAGATGGGACATGACCAGATATGCATTTTGAGAAGATCAGTCCAGTGGTGGCATAGAGGTTGGAGCGGAAGAGGCATTATGAGGGTGGGGAGATCAGACAGGAAGTGGGTGCAATATTGCAGTTGAGGCTGGGGTTGAGGGTCAGTGGCAGGGAGATGACACAGAGGTGAGAACGTATTAGGTCTTGGCGCCCAGAAGAGAGGGCAGGGAACACACTCAGGACCCCATGACCCACCGAGAACATGTCTGCTAAGTGCTCAGATTTGCTCACTCTGGTGGGGGAAACTGCATATTCGCTGGGATGAGAATGTGGCTTCTCGCCTTGGAGATGCCAATAATCAGGAAAGGGTTTGCACATTACATACATTCTAACCAGAAGAAACAAAGGGGATGGGTATGCCATGGCCTTTTCCCTGTTCCCAGTCCTCGGGGTCCTTCCCAGATCTGAGTTCATCTAAGTCCCTCTCCTCCCACCAGCTGGGTGCGCTTTCTCAGGTCTTTCTAACTGGGCAAAGCCAAGTTCTCCAGAGAGTGACATTCCTTTGGTAGGTTTTCTTGCTTTCTACATTGTATTTATTGGAAGTAAGAATAAATCCACGCTCGTATCCTCAGAGCGCTCTGTCCAAGTGTGTCGATACTTATAGTTGAGATGTGAACGAGCCTGTCAGAAAGTACTATGTTACTCGGTTAAATACGACAACTGTTCTGTTCAATTCAGGATGTTTGCAAAGTCTTTGGCGGGGGAAAGTGGGGTCCACTTAATAAAGGTCTCTGTCAGGAAGCAGTTTGAAAGAGCTTTGAGAACAATCAGTAGGTAGTGAGCCAAAGATAAATGGGGGGGTGGGGACCAGAGGGGGTGACTGTCCAAGAGGCTCAATTAGAAAGAAATTAGTCACTCGGACTGCTTCGGTTGGACACCCTTGCACTTGAACCCTGAGTTGACCTTTGAATAACTGTGTGACCTAGGGTAAGCTCCTTACTCTCCTTGTGCCTCAGTTTCTCACCTATGAAATGTAGTAATACTTATATTTAGGAGGGTGTAAGAATTATATTAACTTAAATGGAAAACACACAAACACACACACACACACACACACACACACACACACACAGTTCCTAGCATAGTACCTGTAAGCCTTCTAGAAAATAACAGTTATATTAACCATTTTCTATGTGCCTTTACGTGGCAGGCCGGTGACACTGTAAAGGAAACAGTATCTGGAAATACAAAGACCAACAGATCTTTGTCCTTTGGAATTTTCCTGTTCTCAGAAAACAGAGGAGCAGAGCCCTGGGCCCAGCCCCCGAGAAAAGCCTTCAAACGTCTTACGATATTCTGTGTTTGGGTTTTGGCGGAGAGGTGAGGGGGCGGCATTTCCCAAACCTCCAAGGAGCCCAGTGGCTTGAGGCTGTCTAAACCACAGGGCCAGGGCCAGGGTCACTTGACACTGCTTGGGGCTAATTTTCAAGCACCTGGAAAGATGGCCACCAGCTGGTTGAAAACAAACTGAAGCGAGGATTAAGGGAGACAAGGTGTGTCCTTGAGAAAACATGACCAGATGCACCTGATACGAAGACAGATACCTCCTCATCCTTTATATCATCACCTGAACGAGGTGGCCGGGGGCCTGTCGCCTTGAAGAAGGGGAGGTGTGCATAGGGTCGGGGAGATGAGCATTCAGAGATAAAGCTCTAACCTGGGAGAGGAGGCTCACTCTGATTCTGGGCCCGGGTTCTGACACTTTGGGCAGGCGCTACAGTGGTAGCCAGGCGGGGTCTCCTAAAGGCTGTTTCCTCTGACCAGTGAGCACACTCACTCAGTCCTAGGAATGCCCAGGCCTCTGACCCATAACTGGGTCTTGTTAGACCCCAAGTGAAGGGTCTAGAGCAATGGGTCGTCCATGGGCCCTTCCTGCTTCCAGTTTATAAATAAGTACGAGGTGCTTCTGGCTTGTACGTTAGTCCATCGTGGATTGTGTTAGTGTAACTGAGTATCTCAGGCTCTAATCAACTCCGCAAGAAGAAACAAAATTGGGGGTGTGGCCCTGCAAAGCCCATGATTGGGCCCCAGGCCTGGAGGGCTGTACTGGGGTTCAGACGCGATGTGTGGCCCTCTCTCAACAGCTCAGCCCTGCTCGTGACACATCCTGCCTGCACTGTGGCCACATTAACAATCCTACAGCTTCAAATTTCTCCCTATCTCAGTCATTTTGTCTACAGTTTTAGAAACATACAAACAGAAACATTAAGCGTTAATTTCAGAGACCAGAGAAGAAAAAGAAAAAAAAAAAAAACCCACCCACATTCTCACCATCTATGGATAACCAAGATTGACATTACATTACTTCTGGCAATGCAAACAATGGAAACAACAATCTTAAAAAGCACATCAAAAAATCTTTCTTCAGAGACGTATATGATAGATAGTGGTGTCCCTTGGTCTTTTTAGGGTTTTTCCAGGTCCCTCCAACTTGATGAAGTCCAGTGCTGGACACAAAGTCCTCTGCATAAGCAGAATTCTCAAGCTCTTTAGGTTTCTACCTCTCTAGTTCCGAGTGCCTCCCAGAAACGAGCTTAGTTTGGGAACTTACACTGAGCTTGTGGTTCTCTGTGACCCTCAGACCCATGCATCCAGAGTCTATAATGTACGCCTTGGGGCGCCTGGGTGGTGCAGTCGGTTAAGCGTCCGACTTCAGCCAGGTCACGATCTCGCGGTCCGTGAGTTCAAGCCCCGCGTCGGGCTCTGGGCTGATGGCTCAGAACCTGGAGCCTGTTTCCGATTCTGTGTCTCCCTCTCTCTCTGCCTCTCCCCCGTTCATGCTCTGTCTCTCTCTGTCCCAAAAATAAATAAACGTTGAAAAAAAAAATTTATAACGCACGCCTGGCCAGAACCACCCACTGGAGTAGAGTCTCAGAGTGATGCCTCTAGTTGCCCCGCCTACCTGGTAATCCACGGGCCGCCCGGCACCTGGCACCATCTTAATGTCTGGCTTGGATCTGAGGAGGAGAAGGTACCGTCAGGCCCGGCGTAAGGGGATTGCTTGCAGGGGAGGAGGAGGGCACTGGCACTGGTTGGACCTTGGCGAAGGGCAGAGGACAGAATCATGGTATTCATATACTCCAAGACTGTCCAAAAGAATGGGGATTAATTGTTTTCAGAGGCCCCAACAGAGAGGATTAACGGCACAGTGACGGAGAGATAGACAGTAGGTCAACAGGTTCAGATGTGTGCGGGGCAGCTCTGTGATCCCCCTTGGCCCGCAGGCGTGGGAGCAGCCTCCTGCCTTTGTAGGAGTGAGAGACATCCGGGAAAAGAAGAAAGGGGCAGGGTTAGGAAGAAGCCGCCCAGGGACCCTGGTTCTTCCCCATCCGAATTCCACACGCGGCAAGCTGGGTCCTGCCTGAACAGGCGGAGGCGGTTTGGGCTGCGGGACTCCCGTGTGCTCACCGTTTGTTGGAGACATTGGTGGTGAGAGCTGTGACAGAGGCCAGAGACACAGAGTCAGGGTCCAGCCCATCCCCCAGACGAACGGCCAAGCGGTCAAGGTCCTCCATCTCCAGCACGGCCGGTTCATCTGCAGAAGAAAGGCCATTAGGTGGGCTGGATGGTGGAACAAGTGACTGTCTTTCCCCTTGCGCTTTGCTATCCAGGAAGCTAACAGTCAATTTCCGGGCTTCCTTGGCAGTATCTGCTTAGAATGTATGGCCTGTTTATCTGCAGTGTTTCCCACCTGATCTTGATCTTTGATTTTAATTGATATTATATCTAGTTTCACTTTTTTTTAAAAAATTTTTATTTTTTTAAAGATTTTTTTTTAAGTTTATTTATTTAAGCCATCTGTACACCCAACCTAAGGCTCAAACTCACGACCCTGAGATCAAGGGCCGTATGTATGCTCTCCTGATTGAGCCAGCCAGGTACCCCTAGTCTTGCTTTTGTATTTTGACTGAATGTAACTCTTGTTGTGTATTTCTTACATAAGCACTGAATGCCCTTTGTGGAAGAAGGGGGGGCAATAAAAAATCCATACTTATGTACCTTTCAAATGATGGCTACTGTTTATCAAGAGGCTACTCTATGCCAGGCACAATGCCGGGCACTTCGTGCACGTATCTCTTGTCCTCATATCCATGTATTGTCAAGATAGGCACTATTCTCACGTCACAGATTGGGAAACTGAAGCTTAAGAAGTAACTCATCCAGGTAAAATAGCTGATGGAATTCAGACCCTAACGCTGCGCTGAGGTGTAATATCCAATGAGATGAAGAATTGACCATACTGAGCAACCACGGAAGAATGGTAGGTTTGGGCCTCTGCCAGCAGCCATACCCTCTCCAGTCTGAAGGAGAAGGGCACCGCTAGAATTGGCATGGAGGCAAGAGGGAGAGAGATGCTGGGGCCAGTGGGCCACCCAGGGGATGCTAAGGGGGGAAGCCAGGAGCTCTGAAGGAGGGCATGTGATCAACAGACTTGGGTGGGAAAGCTCCACATTGCTTCCTTATCTGATCCAATTCTCTTCCGGTCCCCCCTGACTCCTTTCTAACAGCTGTCTTGCCCTCCCCCCAGGCTGCTGCTCCCGTGGCACCAGGGCCACGGGTCACTTCAGCCTCCCAGGCTCCACCCTGCCTCTCTCCCCCAGGGCTTTCCCTGCAGCTTTGTGAGAAGGCATGGGGAAAGACAGGGCAGTGAGTCTTGCCACTGGGTAAGCGGTCCTGGGACGCTGGTTTTTCCCCAGAAATAGGGAAGTGGCCAAACCACTTTCGTTTTTTTTGTTTTTTTTTTTTTTTTGTTATTCCCTTCTCTAATGAACAATCTCTAGGCTTCTGTGTGCAGGAAAAAAGGTGGGGGGGTGGGGAGCAGAGAGGGCAAGAGGAGCCTTTCAAACACAGGCCCACCAGACAGAGAATACTGCTAAATTATAGACTAGTGGCGATGCCCTTCCCACCCTTTGTGCCAGGAGCGCCCCCTTCCTGAAGACCACCCCCAGGGCCCGGCTCTGCCAGCAGCCAATGGGAGGCTAGGGCCCACCTAAGTGGCCTCGCCGGCCAATCGCAGGCGAGCCTGCTGGGGCGCTGCCCGCGGAGGGGAGGGGTTTGGTCTGCGTCAGGTGCGCAGAGATGGCCCGGGGGTTGGCCTGGCTGGGGGCGCGTCTGTACCTTGTCTTTGGGGTTCCTCCTTGTGGGACCGGTTCTTGCCGAGCTTCATGGCGGAGAACACACTTCTCCCAGCTCTGTGAGGCGAGCCGCCAGAATGAGATGGAGGGAGATGGACGCCGGGAGGAAGACACACAAACACAGGAGAGCAAAACCCGAGACAACACGTAAGAGAAAGGGAACTTCATACTCCAGCCCCTCACGTACCGGTCCTGAGATAGCGTGGGGGCCAACCTTTCTAAAGCGGGAGCCACGAGGGGGAATTAGGGCAGAGAGGAGACCCCACTGCTTCCTTCTTTCTCATGCCTCCACACCACTGAAGAGCGGGTCAGGGCCCAGGGATCAGAGAAGGTGATCTTGGGCTGGAAAGAACGACTTTGAGTGGAGCCCTCCCGGGTCCTGGGCTGTCCTCAGCTCCCTCAGTCCAGTCTCAGAGCTCTGAGTTCCACCATGCCTCCGAGCCCGTCTTCCTTGTCCGTGCACCCCACCTCAGCTGGTCGGGAAGAAAGCCGGATGACCAGAGACAAAGCATCAGGACAGACAGACAGGAACAGGATCAGAGGGGCAGAGGCCAAGGAGGAGGTCTGAGATGTGGTTGAAACTAGCCGCTCAGTTCTCAAATGGCCCTGGTGTGCAACTCTTGCCTTGTCTTTCCCAATCTCTCCGCACCCTCAGATTCTGTTCGGTCCCCAGCGAAAACGAAGAGATGGGCCCTTTCCCATCTGTGTTTGGTGCTGGCTTCCACCCCTTCTGCCTGTCCCTGCTCACTGCGGAATTCCTCCCCCCCACCCCCCACTTCAACCAACCCCCAGGAACGTATGGCAAACTCCATAGTTCCTACCTCTTTCTCTGGCTTGGTGTGGCCTTGTGCCCCCGGGTGAAGGGCCTCGCAGTCGGGGGGGCTGAGGGAAGGGGGCAGGGGTCGTCAGTGTCCCTTCAGTGATGTCCCTGCAGCTGAGCCCGTGATCCCTGGTGCCAGGAGGGACCCGGAGTAGGATCAGCAGGGGGTAAAGTGCAGTATTCCATTACCCCATCAATATTGCATGAGCTGGATACCTGACTCTCTCTTCCTATTCTCCCTCCTCCTGGGTGTGGCCCTGTCATCATGTGGGCTCAGGGGGTGGCCAGGGCAGACTCAAACTCTGAGCTCGCCTACAACAGAGCCCACCCACCTTTGGGTCATGCGTCTATCTCCCCGTGGAGGCTTGACTTTGGTTCCCAAGATCCCCTGGGTAATGGGTATCCCAAGATAATGGGTAATGGGTAATGGGTATCCCAAGATACCCATTATTCTGGGTAACGTGAGGTTGGGCAAAACCTTTCTGTCCTTGTAGGGATGGCCTAAAAGCCTCAAGCCCCTCTACTCAAGGTTGGGGCCAATCTTATTCCCCCAAATCTGGCCCCACCCTAATCCTGGGCCTTTCTTTACTTTGCTCTCTTTACTTCCGGGCAAGACATAGAGGGCTGTGAGTCTGTATCCCAGTGAAAGAGCAATCAAGAACCCTTCCATGAGCAGCAGCTCACAGTTTAGGAAACACTAGTGTGTTCGTGGCTTCCTAAAAAGCCATGAGGTGGGTCAAGGAAGACTGAGGTAACACTGATGTGTCTATACCGGCCAGCATCGTGTTGTCCAGAACATAACAATGGAGGAGAAGGGAAAGAAGGGAAAGAAAGTGTCTCCCCTTCTAATAAGGGGAGGTATCTATACATATGCCAACACGGCATTATATAATTTTTTCTTGAGCAACTACTATGGGCCATAGCCTTTTCCAGATGTTTACTCATTTCATCTTTATAGCGATCCTGGGAGGGACATATGCTTCTCTTCATTCAACCCAAGAAGAGACTGAGGCTCAGAGCTAGAGTTGAAGCACACTGCTCCTGCCCTCTGCCAGAACTGCTACGTCCTGAGTCCTGTGGGATTGCACTTCTCTGTCAGTGGTGGTCGCATCCTGACCGTTCGGAACTTCAGTGAAAAGTTCCCAGGGCCTGCACTTGTAGGTGTACGTATGGGCCGTGTGCCAACGCAGTGTGCAGATGGGGGTGCCATCTGTGAAGAGCCCCACAGATGGTGCCCTGGCTTACAGAGGAGGTGCTCACTCACAAATGGTCTTAGCATCAACGCATTTTGGAAGAGGCTGCTGTGAAAGTTAATGACTGGTAATGAAACGTCACACAAGTCAATGACTTGCGGCTTTCTGACACTGGTCCCGAGGACCCACCCAAGTGGAAAAGGGCCTGGGGCTTCCCCTGGGCAGTTATGGCCCTTGATTTTGAAAGTCACTTTATTTCTTAAAACAAACGTATTTGGAAGCAGAGATTGAGACTTTAAAAAAAAAAACTATACTATCCTACTATTCTCTCCCTGAAGTCAATCAAAGGAGAAGCCCCTCTTCCCAGACCCTGCCTTACTAACCATCTCCGGTGGACAGGTATACAGGCGGTACTCCTGTGTGCCTGGGGGTATCTCAAAATGAAGATTTATCCCTTAACGAAAAATGTGGAACGTGTCGGGTGAATGTAATGTCCAGAATTCGCACGAATTTTGTTCTTCAGTTCATCTGGACAGCGTGCACTAGAGCGTGATGGCCTCAGCTCTCCCTGCCCTTTGGAATTTTCTGGTCGATGACACATCAGAAGTTGACCATAGAAACAGTCTCTTCTGCCTAGTGCTGCACCGCTTCCCAGAAACGGCGTGCCTGCTTCTCTCGGCCAAGGGTAAAGGTTAGTTTTGAAATAAATGTTAATTTAGTCAGGGATGTTCGAAGATTATCGGCTTGTATCAAAGACTTAGATTTCCAAAATGTGTAATTCTTTGATGAGGTTGCTGGTACGCTCGGGTCCTGAGTGTTTGTTCTTGTTTTTAAATAAAATGCGGCAGCTGGTCTGAGTTCTTCAATAACTAAAAATATAATGTGGTGAGAAACAGACAAAGAAAACAAGCCAATAATCAGCTCAGTGAAAAAATGCTTTGCCACCAAGTGGCTCCTTACTCCTGGCTTCAGGGAAGCAGAAGCGGGAGCCAGGGAAGGTGGGCCTCTCTAGGGCCCTCTGGGGATTTCCGGTCCTGCTTGGGCTTCCCCATTGCTGGATTCACTGAGGTCAGAATGATAGGCACCCACAATTTAGACCACTATTTCCCTCTAGAGAAAAGATTTTAAGGTTAGTTCACTTATTTGTAAATTCTGTTTTCATTTATGGATCTGATGGTTTCATTGCTGGTTCCACGGCTCAGATCTAGAAGGATGTCGTGGTTGGGGTCCTAGGAGGGAGCTTGGTATTCAGAATGACTTGGGAACATTGGCCGAACTAAATTTAGTGAGCTGGGCGTCATTAACTCAGGTCTGTGTATTCTTCTGGAGGCTGTGACTGACGATCTGAGACTGCCTTCAATCAGAACAACCCAGGCTCACTAGCTCAGGCCTCAGCTAATCAGGACAAACTCCTGCCTAAGAGAAAAGGGGTCTATGGTGCTTTGCATTGTTTAAACAGCCACGTTTTCAAACCTTGGGGGCGTGTTCTGGTGCCCCTTGGTGGGTGTATTTCTTTTATTTCCGATGCCCCAAGAATAGCTAATTCATAATTGCAGGCTCTACAGTTGGTTTTTCACAGTGTGTTGAATTTCAGTTAGTTTCAAATATCTTCCCACATCTCGGCAGGACAGGTTGGCCCTTGATACGAGGACTTGTCCCCAAACTGGCCTGCTTGCCTCCGCGCCCTCGTGGAACCAGGAGGCGTGGGGGGCGCTTGTGTACTTAAGGGGGCCCTTGTGTGCCAGGGAGCTGGCTCCTCAGCTCTCCTCGGCGGCCCAACCCCTTGCAAGGCTCAAGCAAACAGCATCAGGGAAATAGATTTCCCACATCCCCAGACCAACCTCTCCCAACATCCCACGTACTCAAGGGGAGCATGAGTTCTTTCATGGCTGGATTCTTCCGTTTTTCCTACGGCAACTTGCACACGCTTCTGCTTACTTCTCAACAGAGCTTGAAACTAGCCAGCTTTGCCACACGGTAACCTTTCAGAGTTTTAAAACTGTTTTTATAGCTTTTCTTCACCTGGCTACAGAGTTTCAACTTGCTTAGTCTCTTCTTAGAAATCTCATTTCTGGGGCGCCGGGTGGCTCCGTCGGTTAAGTGTCCGACTTTGGCTCAGGTCATGATCTCACAGTTTGTGCGTTCGAGCCCCGCATCGGGCTCCGTGCTGACAGCTCAGAGCCTGGAGCCTGTTTCCGATTCTGTGTCTCCCTCCCTCTCTGCCCCTCCCCTGCTCTCACTCTGCCTCTCTCTATCTCTCTCTCTCAAAAATAAATAAATATTTTTTTAAAAAAATCTCATTTCCCTCCCCTTTCAATCCTCCTAATGCCCCACACATGAAAATAAGAATAATAAATGCCAGTTGACTGTATCCCATGTGAGGACTAGGGATGGCAAGAGACTCAGATCAGGTAGTGCCAGGGAACCAGCATTTACTGCGGGTCTACTAGGTGCTCACCACTGTGAGGTGCCTCTTAGTCCGGCCGTGGGGGGTCTGGCCCAGGACAGACTGGAGAGCTGGAAATCAAGAAGGGCCCTAGGGCATCGCCACTCTCAGCCAGAGGCTGGGGAAGAGACAGGGCATTTACATCTCATGAATAGACCTCTTGTGTCTAAGCGTCCATGTGGGAAACTGAGCCCTTGAAACGGGTCCCTAAGAGGGACTCCCAGCTCAGCCATCATCTCTCACCCTCCACCCCTACCTCCCTGGATTCAGCTCTCCGGCTCCCTCTCCAAGCTCCCTCTTCTTCCCTTGCTCAGAGCCTGACAGCCTCCTCAACCCTTCAGGTCTCTGGGCCTGAGTTTTCCCCACGGTGCCTTTGTCTTGTTGTGCTTTTGTTTGTGGGAGTTGGAGTTCATATGCTTTTGTTGAAGCAATGATCCACGATGAGTCCCCTGGGACCTTAATGCAGGCGGATGCCTCAAGCCCATACCTGTGCTGACCACCTCAGACCCCTATAGGCACAATCCTGGTGTCCCCACGATGTCCTCCTGTCAAACTAGTTTTTAACTTCCTGGTGCCACAGTGTGGGGCAAATCCCTTA